AAGAAATTTCTACACAGAAATATTCACTCAGAAAAAATACTCATTGTTATGTTGATGCTTTAAAGTTTTTTTTTGTATGTACAGCAGCTTTTAAGAGTAATTTCAGCTCTCATTCATAGACCGCTTTTTACTGTGGTAATTTCTAGGCTCGCCCATACTATTCGTACGTGAGCTCGTTAAAGCCGGATGTTTGGTTTGATGCAGAAGTTGTGTGGGAGGTGAAAGCAGCTGATCTATCAATTTCACCCAAACATCTTGCCGCCAGAGGAATCGTAAGTGTTTTTTTTTTGTTTTTCAAATTGCTCTGGAATTGACAAAAATGAAAATAGGCCGGAAAAGAAGTAAATTTTAGGGAAATTACAGAAGAGCAAATTTATGCGAACAAGATGTTAAAAGAAGGAGGCTAAAACTGAGGAAAATAGAGACAAAGTGAGGCATATGGGGAGGGCTGAAATTGCAGATTTGTCCAGTAAATTTCAAGAATTCAGAATATCAGTTTTTTTCTTGTGTTTTACTTCGGGGCTATACAGTGGCAGTGTATTTTCCAGGAGAGAGAAGGTTTCCTGGCCTTTGTTAAGTTATATGTCACCTTTCATTTAGGAATTTGTTATTATACAAAGTTTTACTTCTTTTCCACACTGTTTTTTTGTGTTATCTTTTATGGTACTTGTCTTCGAATTACGTGCAGCTTATTTTATTACAGATAGATCCTGAGAAAGGAATTTCATTGCGGTTTCCTCGATTTGTTCGAAGGCGAACGGACAAGAAGGCAGATGAAGCTACTACATCGGAACAGGTTGTTATTTATGGAGAATTTACAACTTTATTTTTGAGGTATTGATAGTTCCGGTTTTCGATTTGCTCAAGAATTCAGCCACAAAATGAAAAGTTTTTCAATCAGGAAAATTTATCCGTTGTTAACTGTATTTTTATTTGAGATTTGAATTTTCAGAATTCTTTAGCGGTTAGAAACCAGCAAGCTAATTATAACCTGCAGACGGAGCATTGGTGCGGCACACCGCCATAGTACAGTATGCTATACCGTACATCACGCTGAAGCACCAGGTTACACTGTAACAATACAGTATGCTGGGCAGTACACCATATTGTACTATACGCTTAAGCGCTTTCATACCATTCAGGGCAGATGCTATAAGATGATAATCTGTCACTAATATTTTGTAGTTAACAGTATGACCTGGTACAGTACAAGATATCGCTACAGTACGATAAGAAGACTGTGAATGTGGTACTGTATAATTGCACGCTAATGTTGATAAGTGAGCTGTGCCTGTCGATCAAACGAAGTGGATTAATAACTTGGCCGTTTCTTTTCAGTTCAGAAAAGCTACCATTTAGTTATTGAAATGCCTTCGAAATGATTAAGTTAACTCAGCGGTGTACTGTATACCGTACAGTACACCATTGCACTACAGTAGACTTCGCAGTACGCTACAGCTGCGTTATACGATTTTTTCGTTTGGAACTTCAGCTACTGTGATGGTTTCTTGATTTCAACTTGTGCAGAGTTTGCTTTTGAAAGGTCAAATGTTGCTTTCACGTATGCCTACTTTCTAATTTTTGCTTACATATTAATTTCAGATAGCGGAAATGTATAAAAGCCAGGAGCAGATCAAAAATGCTTTACCGGGAACGGCCGGCAATGAGGATAATGATGATTTTTATTAAGCATTTCATTGTTTTCTGTTTTGTTTGAATTTTTCTTTATTTTCAAATTGTATTCCTTTTTGCTGTTGTATGCTGGAATGTGATTGACTTTGAGTTTATAGGCCTGACATAGAATGTTAAGGATTTGACTTTGCCAGTCGGATTATCTACCCCTTTACTATTTGCTCACTCGCTTTTGCTGGTAAATTAGTGTTGGCATATTAGGAATCAAACCCGCCACCAGCTTGCTTTTAAGCAA